CGAAGTGATATACCGGCTTAGGTCCACGTACTGGGAAGACCAATGGTGCCGGACCAGGATCAGGCTGACGGCCTGAAATTGGACCGGCCTAGTTGCCGGGCCTCCGGGGGACTGCTACACGATCCCCGGACCTGTTTATGGATCAACTGATGCATCAAACACGCTATCCGCTGAAATAGCGGAAACCCAAAAGGAACGGCAAAGAAAACAATCCTCAATGTGGAGCAAGCTCCATGTAGGAAAAGAGATGCAATGCAGACTAAGCCTCAAGCCTAATCTATGCAATGTCTGGTCTGAGTCGACCCAGAAAGCAGAAAAATGTCTGACCTGTGCCGGGCAAGAAAGAGAAAAATGTCCGACCTTTGCCGACCAAGAAAGAGAAAAAAAGAAAAGTCTGCTGAGCCAATGTGGCTGAACATAAACCAACATCAAGGCCCTAAAGGCCAAAGAATAAATAAACCAATGTCCTAAGTCGACAAAGAATGTGGCAAAGTCTCACGTGCACAATACCTGAATAAAAGGAAAGGGAACTCAGTCGCATGGTAAAGGTAGAGATGGGTGGGAGAGCGGCGGGTATAGCTCTCAGAGTAAACTCCAAGGGGGTACCCACACAACCAGGTAAACATCATCAGGCTCGGAGGTAGCGTAACAGCACGACACCAGGCTCACTGGAAACCATAAAACGGGTATCGCCAGCTGAAAGGGAAAGGGCACTCACACAAGGGAGCACGCATAAGGTGAGCCTGGAAGGAGAGAGGGCTATGCTGGCATAGACATGTGGCCGAAAGCTGCGAGCAAAGAAAACATATACCCAGAGGAGGGCATGCAACATAGAGTAAGACAGAAGGGCGGCAAACGAACACAACCACATGAGTAGGGAAAATAGGGGTCATCATGCGACTACAAAGTAAGCTCGAAGGTGAGGGATGAGTGAGAATGAGGGAAACTCCATGGCGGAGGGGGAAATGAAGTAGTCCAACTGATGAAGCTCGAAGCTGAAGCCGGGTCGAAGTAGCCAGGCTGAAGTAAGAGTAACACTAAAGTTGAGTAAAAGTCCGGAACGCAGCAACAAGTGCTGCTGGAGAGGCGCATTGAAGTCGAAGGTTGAATGTAGATACCGAAACCGGGAGCTGTTGTACAAGTGTCCAAGAATAGTTGGGGATAAAGGAGAGGTAAAGGTCAGTCACGATAGCAAGAAGGAAGTCGGTGGGCTCACGGAGGGCGGGACAACTCCACTGCAAAAACAGGCGGAAAACGGGCGGAAAACAGGCGGAAAAGAGGCGGAAAACAGGCGGAACCACATTCGTGGGCGAGAGAGAACCCGAGGCAGGTATTGGTGGTGCAGGAGGGTCCATTGATGTAGGATGGGGAATATCAGTGGTCACTGAAGTAGATGGGTCAGTGCATGGACGAGTAGTAGGAGGGGAGGACGATGGAGGGAAAGGATGAGCACGATTGTAAGCACGCACGAAAGTCATGACATGCTTTAGGTGCTCGAGAGGCTTCCAAATAGACTCCTCGTCAGGATAACCCTTCCAGCGAACGAGATACTCGAGGCGGGGAGGATCACCGCCAGTCATGTGCCGGGACATGATATCAGAGACGAGAAACTCCTCGTGACCCTCAATGATGATGGGAGAAGGGCAAGGGTAAGGTCGACCATGGAACTCAGGAGGAGACCGTCTGAAGGGGCACACGAGAGATACATGGAACACATCATGTAAGTTGGCGGGGTACATGGAATCGGGGAGCTTCAATTTGAAGCTCACCAGACAATCATGATTGGGTCCGGCGGGTGACCGATATATCGACGTCGGAATTTCCGAAGCGTGTCGGCTTCGGGCTAGAAGTGATGTGCATCGACAAGGACCTCGTCGCCAACTTTGAAAGGATGGTCAATGTGAGAACGGTTAGCGCGAGTCGCCATGCGAGCTTGGGAGTCAACAATGCTCTCACGAGCCTTGCTAAGAAACGACATCCATCTCCTTTACCCAGTTGTCGAGGATAGGGCATTTGGTATCGGGATGAATTTGAGATGGACGGAGAAGGTTAGATGGGACACGAGGGTGGTATCCCAAGCCACATTAGTATGGAGACATACCAATAG